CACACACACACACCCCACATACACACACACACACACACCCCACATACACACACACACCATACACAGGTCTCTCTCTCTCACACACACACACTCCACATACACACACATACCATACACAGGACTCTCTCTCTCTCTCTCTCTCACACACACACACACACACACATATACACACACACACCACATATACACATATCACACATACACACACCATACACACACACACCATACACAGGTCACACACACCACATATACATACATCACACATACACACACCACACACACACACACACACACACACACTTAGCATGGACTTCCGAGAAGCTGGCCCTTGCAGGGAGCAAAGAGTTTACAATGAGAGAAGGTGAGTCTTCCTGTGTGAGGAAGGCTTGCTCTTGCACCTGGACAAACACTCCAAGAGTAGTCCACAAAGCCACTGCAGGAACTTCAGGGCAGGGGGCTCTGTGGAAGGGCCTCCTCTTCTTATCACAGATGCTTTCATTCTCCCAGCCTCACTACCATTGTGGAGTCTTCAGCCTCACAGCCACCTCAGTGAGGCTCACTTCTCCGTGAAGGTGGGGTCGAGGCCAGACCAGCTCTGAGGCTGTACCTCACAGCCTACCTCCCTCCCAGCACAGGCCTAGAGCAAGGAGCTGTCACCCATAAAGCTGCCACCTGGAGTGAGGTTACAGCTTACCCAGCTGAGAGACGCTCAAAAATGACTGTGGAAAGACTTGGAACAGAAAGAGGTGATGGAGGCAGAGTCCTTGAGGAGGCCAAGGTCAAAGCCTTGTTGTGAGATCAGCTGGCAGAGGGGAAGAGACAGGTTCACAGTGAGGTACCCGGGAATCACCAAGTCTTTCTGGGGTAAGCAGTGAGGAAGAGAGAGTATCGACTTAACTAGTTCTGATTAGGTTTGGTGGCTCCTGCAAGCTCTGGATATTTGCTCTCCTCTGGTCACCGACTCTCTGCCTCTCCTGTACACTGCAGTAACACTCATCAAGGTCAGCAACCTCTTTGCTGCCAAATCTGAAGAACAATTTCAACTCCAGCCTAGCTGGACTCTGCCCACCTGACTGGAAGTCATCCTGTCTTGGGCTACCTGCCCACTCACCATAGATGAGCTCACCCGGCTCAGGGACTTAACGGAATTACATGTAGACATTCCTGGTCTTTGGTCTCCAGCTATTCTCTGGGTTGACCCCAGAATAACTTACTCACTGTGTGTTCCCACTTTGAGGAGTCAAAGCCAAGTCAAATGTTGGAGTCCTAGAAGCCACTCAGACCCTCCTACTAAACCCACACGGTTTCAGCCCAGCTAGATACCCGAGTGTCATTTACTCTATTTATGTCATGTGTGGTATCAAGTCCTGCTTGGTTCCCTCCAGACATCAATGGGACCTAGAAGCCTTTGCTGACAGCACAACTGCAGCCTCTTCCTAGATCTCCTTTAGCTAGGAGCAAATCCTTTCCAAATACACATCTAGCTTGGTGACTCCGTAGCATCAACCTTGAAAATCTGTGTGCCACACACCCCAGTTCCTAAGTATGACACCTGATGTCCCTATCCCTACCTGGCCTTGCCAGGCTTACTTCCCCTTCAGGATTTGAGTGGTGAGACAACACGTCTTTTGGTTGTGAGCCTAACCTTTAATGGATGAGCCATCTCTCCAGTCCATGACTCATGTCTCCCAAGGAAAGGATGTGAAGAACAGGGAGGAGGGAGCCCCAGGACACCACACTTAGGGGTTAACAAAGGAAGCACGTGTCATGAGACAATGGAGAGCGTGTGACAAAGGACAGTGGGTTGGAGAGGGATGCAGAAACACAGGAGGACAGAGAGTAACAGAGAGCTTCAGGAAAGTGACCTGACCTATATATAGGGAATCTACAAATAGGAGAACCTCAGTGTCCCATAGATAAGCGAGTGAGTGTCAACGTACTGCCTCCCAGTACCGTTAGGAGGATTACTGAGTTCCTACATCAAATGTTCTGTGAACAGCACCACACGCCATATATATTGGAGTTGTCTCTGACATTAATTTCATTATTTCAACTAGCTGCTTCTGTGAATCATTCCTTAGAAGAGGGGTGACCCCACTGGGGAGATAGACGCTCAATGGCCAGCTACTGAGAGGCTCAAAGGAAGCATGAGCACGCAGAGGAGTGGCCCAGGGCAGGCTTCGTGTCAACATGGTTCTCCTATCAAAGCCATGACTTCTGGAAGCAGAGGACATCCCTAGCTTCTAGATCTCTCAGAATTTAACTCTTGCCACTTTGGCATTCACACTATCGACACTGGCCTGTGGTATCCTGCTCATACGATGACACCCTCTCGGAGTTAGGCAAACTGCTAAAGCTCTGTATGCTGAGTCCAAGTAGACCAGGACTCAAAGGACCAGATGAGGAAAAGCCACCTATCTCAAGAAGCAGCTATCAACAATTCCGGTCTACCCAGGATGTCTTGCCAGCACAGCACAGTTGGCTGTGACATCATGTCCTTGAAAGAGACCCAACAGTACATCTTTGGCCCGGGCTGACTATGAAATGCCCATGGAGTATGACTCTGTCTGGCCCATACCCCAGAAGCCCTGGCCAGCAGATGTTCCCGTAATGTGGAACATTAGGCCCTGGCACAACCAGGTGCTACTCCAGCTGACAATGTCGGGGAGAGAGGGCATGAATGTGGGGGCTGGGGGGCGGGGGCAAGGAGTGGCGGCACCCAGGATCCAGAGCTGGGGATCAGAGGTAGAGGCAGGGTAAATAGTGCACGTCCTCAATAAGCGTTTACTGAGTGCCTTTCCTGTGTTAGATATACACGAAACTACAAGAGGACCAAGTTGGAGGAAAGGTAGGGCCTCCCTTCTGAATCTACCTAGAAGACACCAAATTTATGTTGTGCTCTTCTCTGCTGTGACTCACAGGTTAGTGTCAGAGCAAGGGCTGAGTGTCTGTCGGTACCCCAACTTGAATTTGCCAGAGCTGAAATCTAGAACAGTGGGTGAGCGGAACTTGCCGGTGCCTTAGGAATAACAAGTGCCACTGGGACTGCTTTCTGCCACATCTGCCAAGTTCCTCGCCTGGAATTCCCAATGATCTACCTGTCACAATCCTGGAAACTGTCCCAGTCCTTCACTCTCTCCCCAGTTTTGTCTTCTCACAGGGCCAGGATAGGAAGAAAGCCCAGAACAAGATCCCTAGGGCCCTAGAACCTATAAAGACCCCTCTCACAACGACTGACCACCTTTAGACTTGGGAACGGAAGCAGGTTCACAAGAGGGCCTTGAGGTTTCTAGCTAGAAACGTATGTCCCCAGCACGCACACAGAACCCATGCCGTTATCCACAGCTCAGCACAGTTCATTTTAGTGGCAACAGAAGCCTTCACAATGCCTTTGCTCCTGTGGCTGTCGTCTCCTCTCCTCTCCTCTCCTCTCCTCTCCTCTCCTCTCCTCTCCTCTCCTCTCCTCTCCTCTCCTCTCCTCTCTTCTCCTCTTTTCTCTCTCTCCTTTCTACTTTGCCTTCTCATTTTCTCATTCATTCAAGAGATTAGATCAAGACATATGAGTCCTGCAGTGCAGAGTGAAGCAAGAGCAGCCAGTCTAGACCTCATGGAGCTTACAGTGGTTAGCAGTGCTATGCTGGGTGAGGTGTAGGTGAGTTTCCTACTGGGGCACGGGGTCCGGGGGATAGCAATAGATAGCAATTCAGTGTCTTTGGGTAGCACAAGTTATTGTTATACTATGCTATAGGTCAGGGGTCTAAAACGAGTCTCAACTAGTTAAAACTGGGCATCAGCAAGACTGCTGGAGGCCTGAGGGAAGGAGCCTTTCCTCAAAGATCTCAAATTCAGGTGCTTGCCAGTGGTCTTTCGCTTATGGTCCCCCTTCCTCCAGCTTCAGAATTAGCACCCCAGCATCCTAAGCCTCCTCCCTTCTCCTACTTCCTCTCACTTTTAAGGACTCTCATGACATCATACCACATTCATCCAAGCAACTCAAGACTTCCTCAGGGAAGGTGACATATTTGCAGGCTTGGGCTGAGAGTTAAGATTTCTCTCAAAT